TAAAACATTGTCGCATATAAACAGAAACAACGAACGCGTTACACAGGGACGCGTATTCTTACACACCGTGACACGTCTGTACCTACGTACATATATACGTATATGTACGTGTATGTACGTATGTGTTTGTAGGTGGCAGCTTACACTCTAGACGATGCATTGTTAAGCTCTCACAGAACGAAGCAATATCCACGGATGTGGCTGCCGGAATTAGAACACGCTCCATCGAGGAGTCGCTCTGCCCTCTGGCGGACAAAATCTCATTACTTCAATGGCGGCCTGAGCGTTCGTGGCGGAGGAAATCTCTCCGATCTCGCTACATGACAATGATGATAATGTTGTACTCCTATTTAGCCTATTCTGGGGGAATAGCTCGCTGGATATGTCCGTTGCACGGTCCTCAATAATCAATCTAGAACGACAGCAGCGTGTGGCGAAGAATGAATTTATTATGTGCTTACACATACATATGCAAATCATCCATACGTATGCTATAAAGAAGTTAGTGGAAGTGCGTTTCATCGCGTCTACGTATTTCTAATAAGTACGATTTACGCGACAGAATACGTCACGTAAATCATCCCTAAATACAAGTAAGTTTAACTAAGTTCGTCTTCGAATAGTGCAATCATCACAAGTATGATTTTACACGAGAGAAATACGTAATGTAAATCATACAATATAATACTAGTAAATATTACAATCATAACAAGTATGATTTTACACGAGAGAAATACGTAATGTAAATCATACAATATAATACTAGTAAATATTCCAATCATAACAAGTACGATTTTACGCGAGAGAACTACAAATATATTTACCTAGAACGACAGCAGCGTGTGGCGAAGAATGGTGACGTTTGTGTAGATCTAGCTTATATACTGCCCAGGCGAAACCGGATTAACTGATTTGGCAGGAAATTAAACTAGATTCTTTTGGCGTGAGCTGCTTACTGAGACCGCTTGCTGCATACAATAATTATCATGATAATCACACGATACAGTCGGAGCGGCGCATGGTGCACACGTGACTGGATCACGGCGGGAGCATGTATCTGCACATGCATTGATGTCCGCCTGCCTGCCTATGTGCCTGCCAGCCTGCTCAAACACCCACCCTCCCGCCTCCCTGCCTGCTTGCTCAAACACCCACCCTCCCGCCTCCCTGCCTGCCTGCACACCCCCACCTGCCTGCCTATGACATAATGTGCCAGCCTGCCTGCCTGCATAAACACCCACCCTCCCGCCTCCCTGCCCGCTCGCACGTACCCCACCTGCCTGCCTATGACATAATGTGCCAGCCTGCCTGCCTGCTATAAACAGGACCACCCTCCCCTCCCTGCGCTGCCTGCACCCCCCACCCTGGCCTGCCTATGTGGCCTGCCTGCCTGCCTGCTCAACACGGCACCTCCGCCTCCCTGCCTGCATTGCTCAACACGCCACGCCTCCCGCCTCCTGCCTGCTTGCTCAAACAGTCCACCCTCCTGTACCGCCTCGCCCGCCGCCTGCACACACCCACCTGCCTGCTATGTGCCTGCCTGCCAGCCTGATAAAACATCCACACCTCAACCGCCTCCCTGCACCTGTACCCCACCGCCGGCGCATCAACGCAGGCAGCTGACCAGCACCAACAGGCTTAGCTGTGTGATAATCCGGCTTAGCGTCGGCCGCCGCACCGTCGGCCGTGCGTGTATAGGTCATCACGCCAGAAAGCCGCGCTCGGCCACTGCGCACGATTACGCCGCTATCCCCTCCTCCTCCTCCTCCTCCTCCTCCTCCTTATCAACCGATCGGAAACCGGCAAAGAAATTGGTCCGATTCGGGCTGCTGATTGCAGACGAAATATAATAACGCGCCACTCGGCCCTGTTGCCAGGGTGAGTGAGAGCCGAGCCAGCAGGCACGGCTCGGCAGGCACGCCGGATCACATTAGATCGCGCCGCGTACCAACTAAACGAAGCAGATATTTCCAAATTGTCAATAAATCATATCCGCGTACACGTTGGCTCACTCGAAATATCCACACCCTCTGCGGAAAGCGAACGGCAGCTCCCCCTCCCCCTCTCCGCCACGGAGAAGGCGGCTGTGAAACTCAGGCAGTCGGTGCACGTACGCGTGGAGGTGAAAGAATGACCTCCAACCTTTCCCATTTCGTCAGCGGGAACGGATGTGCCCCGATGCCCGTGTATATGAGCGCAGAGGTACAGCAAGCAAACGCCCTTAGCGTGCCGGTATCCTCACACCAGGGTCCTACAGCCTGTGTATGCACGCCGGCGTCGCAAAAGCGTCGCAGCAAACTGCCGTGTTTGTGCAACGCAGCTGCAAACATTGCCGATTCTGCTTCACTTCCCTCCCAGTGGCGTGTGCGAAAGAAATTCAATGGAACACGGGCAGGCACGCACGCACGCACGCACGCACGCGCACGCGCACGCACGCACGCCCGCACGCATACAGACACAGACACACAGACACACACGCACGCACGCACGCACGCACGCACGCACGCACACATACACACAAACAGAGAGCGAGAGAGATAGAGAGAAAGAGGGAGAATCATAGCCCTGGCAACGCAGGGCACGATTACATTCAGCGGTATAAGACCAGGCACCTCGCCAGCCGCTTACACCCTTACATTATAACAAGAGCGTATAAAGAAGGCCTTCTTTATACGCTCTTGATTGTACTGCATAACCACGGCGATATTATACGAAGCAGCAGTGCTCTTAACCGCCGCCATTCACAAAGAAAAAAACAACTCCTGGCCAGTCTCTAACTAACACCTCGACGTGCTTCGACCGCGGATTACTTCGCTTGTAAGGGGACTTTAATTAATTGTTAACGCAGTTATGGATAAATGATGGACTTGCGAGCACTTCACGCACTTCACCGCTGTGAAATACGGCCGCAGCTGCTGTTCAGGCCATGCAGGGGACAGCTGTCAGCGCCGATTTCAATCAAGCCGACCTTGTTATGAAAATAGCGTGCTATGAATGGATTAGTAATGCAGTTGGCACGATAACACCGCTGATGACGCTGTCGCGACAGCAGCGGCAGCGAGCGATAGTTTTGTTCTTGTTTGGTTTCACACGGGGAATGTGCTGATAAACAATTCATAAACAATTACTATTCTAATTCGATCAAAACCTGCGTTAGCGCAAATCTCTATAGAATGGACACCTGTCTATAAGACACTTCCAACGTTTTCCTTGAGTGCATGGCAGTTATACCACCTCTTTAGAACGGACACGTGTGGCGGTTCCTTTGAATGGAAGCAATACAGTGAAACCTACCCCCCCCATCGCACGGATACGTTGTATATTTCGCGGTGGTTTACTTTTCGCGAATTTCGCGAACGCGTCCCCGACCGCGAAAATAATAACACGCGAGTAATTCATAACGAATAATACCGAATATTTCATAATTCACCGACCGCGAAATTAACCACTCGCGAAATTGACCGTCAAGTCTAAATTCGCGAAAAAAGTCTGTACGCGAAAAATATGACGTATACAGTATGCAGGAGACTTGTGGTTTGCATTTGCGTGACTCGTATACACAGGCTAGGCACTATGCGTAGAATTCCGACGTTCAACAATTCCATATTTTTTGTCCGCCGCTCGTGAGGAATGAAAGACAATAACCAATATAAAAACGAGAGAATGCTTGGACAAAGGTGCGCTGGTGTCCTGAGCACCTACAGACACTTCTTCAATGATTTCGGCGGGTAAACTCTGACTGAATCAAGATTAGTAAAAGATATCAAAGGCACAATACTGCAAGAACTAATTAGTATGATGTAAAAAAAATTCACCCGACCATCGTTAAAAAATTACATGTTTGCTGTCCTCCGACCGACCCACGAAAATAGCCGCGACCCAAAAGTTTTTTTTTACATTTTGGGCTCCATTTTTTTCATTTACATTTTTTATAGTTAAGACTGAAACACTAAACATGTGTGGCAAACATGAGGACATACTTAAAATAACTATTACGCTTCACACAAAAAATGACCTACCTACCTACCCACTAAAAAAATCATAGGTCGGGGGACAGCAAACAGATTTTTTTAAGGATGGCCCCCGCAATTAGAGACAGTGACAAATATCAAAACTTGAGGATTCTTAGCATACGTTATGACTCGTAGCAACACGTCACCAACAAACAAGAGTGTGGGAGCGGTTGTCATTCATGGTGTGGATGGACGGCAACGGTTCATGCATCGCAAATTTACCAATAAACCACAACAATCAATAATTAATTAACAGCGTGGATGATTCCCTTCTCAATAATTGATACCGTGGAAACGTGGGCATAAATATAAGTACAGCGGCATAAATAACCAACCAAATACATGAATAAATACACGTATGTATGTGTATGTATATCATAGTATCACGTATTATACATAGTTAATTTCCGTGGTTATATAAAGGCAGATACGATAAATATACATGAATACACGTACGCACGCATGTACATAAACATACACGCGGACATTAATCAATGAAGGCCGTTTTATTTCATTTGTAAGCATTCCCCCCAGGGTCAGCAATTACTGCGGATCACCAATTCATGCATCTGACACGAATACACGCGTCCACCCGCGCTCATCTGGGGCTATTTCCGGCACATTTTGCTTGTGACCGCGCATAATTACCGCCTGATGCATCATCAAGGTGAAGCGATATCAAAATAGGTCGGCGACTTTGATGTGGTGCCGTTATTAGACCTGTTCTTCGCCCCCCCCCCTTGCCCGCCGCCCGCCTTCCTCGGCGGGATGAGATTAACATCGCGGTTCTTTCTCTGTGGGACAACCTTAAAATGCTTCTCGAATATAAAGCGCTGCACAAAGAAGCCCCCCGTGCACTAACGCCGACACCACAAATCCCGGGATTAACCTCAAACTACCGCTAGTTCGCATGCCGCGACCGCGGAGGCCGCATGCAGTCTAAAACGCTGCTGTCTAACTAAACTCCTCCTATATAACGCAACTCACCTGTGTCGCCTTGTCAAAGGTAGGCTTGCCCGTACACGATAGGCTATCCTTCGGCCACTGGCCCGTCAAGTAGATAGTGTCTAAGGATGCCGTCCTCCTGATGTTCGGTGAACCCCGCGTGATGGGCGAACCTCGTACTTTCGACCTATCCACTGCAAACAGCGAGAAAATAAACTGTTTAATGAAACTGTTCGGTGCGCGGTTTGCGCGATAACCTTCAAGGCGGCAACTATATATGTAATACGCGGGCGCGTTTAGCTGATGAATTCGCAGCGTAATTATTCACGGCATGTGAACAGACAAAAGAATCGCGACGGTGGAGGCGGCGGCGGCGGCCGGGGGAGTCTCTCGCATCGCCTCGAGAAACGCGCCTATGTGCGTCGTCTGTCTTTCTGTTGTCGGCTCGAGATCGCTAAGACAAGCTTAATCTACCAGCCGGCCCTTCCCAAACGAAAACTGGTTAGCAGCGGACATTTTTTACGGGGCACGTGCAAACAGGAGCACAGATCAGTCGCTACGCTAGCGGGCAAGCACGCGGCGCTGTGTGCGTGTTTGCGTGCGTGCGTGCGTGCGTGTGTGCGTGCGTGCGTACTAGCGCACACAACACAGCTGATCAGCAAGCAGCACGGCTCTACGGCACAGATACGATATGACAGCAGTCCCAGCAGAAAACTGGCAGGCGCACCCCGAAACTCATAAAATAGTTATAGGGGGGGGAGAGAGAGAGAGAGAGAGAGAGAGAGAGAGAGAGAGAGAGAACGCAGGCTGGGCATGAGGGGGCCATGTAATTGCTTGTAAGCCTCGCAAAACACCTCTTCTGGCGACAGAGCTGCAGCGTTTACGATGACACCTATAACACGCTTCCCCCAACAGCTACAACATAACGCCATGAATTTCTTTCCATTTTTAACGACTTCGATTCCTTACCGTGACAGATCAATCGGGCATAATATATCTTCGCAACCACGACAATCGCAATCGCGCTGCTGAGCTGCTGCATTGCTGCATTCACTTCTTGCTGCACTGCTGCATTCACTTCTTGCTGCTACGCTGCTGCCATAATTGCCAATTTATTTCCATAAAATCAGAAGTAGATAATAGGGGGGAGGGGAATCAAACCATGAGCCGTCCGGACAATCTGCTGCGGACAATCTGCGTACCGACACGGCTAGATGCTATAATTGTGGCGTTCATTGTTCGAACGACAAGTATACAGCCGAAATCACTTCGATTTGCCTCGCTACTAATTCGCGTGCACGTTTTTTTCGTGAAATGGCTTACTAAATTCCTGCAAGTTTTTGCTTGCGAAAATGTTTGTTTTTTCGCGTGCGCGCGAATAAACGAAGAATGGTTTATGACTGCTTACACTGAATCGCGCGTAACTTCGTTTCGCGAACCGACAGCTCAGGACGGCTCACAAGAATAGAAAATTTACATTCGACAGATAGCCGGAACAGTGTCGAGATGGGGTTTACAGTGTGAAATGCAATTTCTGTGCCAGTAGAATGTCAATGGTGCCCCTTGTGGCAGTGGCAGTAAGAGAGAGGTTTATATGAGCTAGTAATCATCATTACGAGGGATAGGGATTGAGTCAGGAGCGTGCAGCAAACTCAAACTGAGAGGCAAACACTGAAAGCTGGCAGCTTAGTAGAGTAGCGCGCGAGAGCGCGAGCAGTAAATAAACTTAGTTGCTCAAGAAGACAGATGGCGCGCGTGAAATTATAAACCGATGACGACAACAGGCAAATGCCGTCAGCATCCGCGCAATAAGATCGCCCTTGTAATTATTATTACCCTGTTCGGCCTTACCACGGCACGAACCCAAACCCTGTGCGCACATCGACACTGTGCGTTACCGTGCAGCCGTGACTGCTTGGATGCGTAAACAAACCTGTGCTGTGCGTCATGGTTGTTATGCTTTGTGAGGTGTGATACGCAATGAATTGCGCCGGAGGTCGAAAGATCGCCGCCACCGCGCCTTTCCATAAATCTTTACAAAATTAACTCTCATTAATTATAATAATTAGCCAAAACATAGAGTACCGAAGTGATGACGTCACGGTGGCATGACAACGAGCCTGCTGGTTCTACACAATCATATGCTCTGGTAACATTAACTACGTGTCGTGTTTTGTACCCGATTGTAACCATCATTCTGAGAGTCATTATTGCAGTTTTTATAGATTTCCAAAGGATGGAAGTGAAAAGCAACAACAACCCAAAAAAAAAATTAACAACAACAAAATTTTTAAAAAAAATTTTAATTTTTTTAAAATTCATTAAATATTGTAAGATCGACTTGCTACCGATGCTTTACCGCTGTCTGCAGCGCACACACTCGTGTTTTACGTACGCACAACATTTTCACGCAGTAAACCTTATGGAGCCAGTGGCTTGTGTAGAACCAGCCCGTGCGTTGTCTTGCCAACGTGACGTCACACTTCGGTACTCTATTGAGAACATTTCTCAAACAAAACACGCCGCCGGCATCTGCAATGTGTTTGACCTTGCGCACGTACGCGTTCTTGCAGAGCAACCACCTGTGTGAAAGTTTTTCATAAACGCGTGTGTGTATTGACAACAGAGACCGCGATGACAATGATAACTTTTAACAATGGCAACGATGGTAACAATGAAAGAAGAACTGCAAAGACGACCGCGTGCGCAAAAAAAAATAACAAAAACAATCGCTACAACAAAAAGGGGGGATGCGGAAATAGTGAAAACGAAGGAAATTGAGTGCTATGGCAAACACAACGACAACGATAACAGCAACGAGCGACACAGCGGTAACTGTGGCAATAATGGATATGGCTACTACTATGATGGGACAACAAATAGGACAACGAGAACAACGGTTATAAACAGCGATAACGATGACAACAACGAGGCTAACAGCATCAGCAACGAAGACAAGGAACGCAAAGACGACGACAAGATCATTCGACTTTTGTGCGCGATATCGCTATCGGCTGTAGGAACATACAAACAACAATTACGACGACTAATGGGTGAACCGAAAGGATCAATGTGCAAAATTGCGACTTCTTTGTTCGCTAATCGTGCGAGTGTTTCCTGGAACGCATTAGGCCGACATCAAACGGGTAAAAATGACGAGCAGAGAGGTAGCAGCAATGCTTATGGAAACTGCCTCCGGAATTCGATGCGGCTTCCGCACCATTAGGCAAACGCGAAGCATGCTTATTAAAAGCGGTGGCGGGCAGGGACAAAGACAGAGAGAGTCATGTATTAGTAATATCGGTCCGGTCTGCTCTGGAAGTACACGCACGTAGTCGTGCGGCTCTCGTGTGGCTGTTGCTCCGTGTGTCACAGGTTATGCTGTGTGGTGCGGCGCGGCATCGTGTGGTGCCATGTGGTTTGGTGTCGTGTTGTTTGGTGTGTGCATGGTTTGGTGTGGTGTGGCATGGGGTGTGTATTGTGCAGGTGTGCTGTGTAGTGCTGAACTATGGTGCTAGTCGTGTAGTGGTTTGTACGTGCGTGCGTGCGTGCTGTCGCAGCTGGCAGTCGAAGCCGTGTACCGTGGACAACAAGGTCCACCGGATTCTCAGCCTTCACATTTTCACGACTAAACAGAGTATTGCTCTCCTCCATGTCTAATCCGATCGAAACCTCGCTCTGCCTGCTTCGGCGAAATCTCACGCGATACGAAGTTACGAGTTTTTTTTACGGCAGCGTTGCGAGTTCACGGAGTTTTTCGTGCGCCCGCCCGGATATCCACGCACGGCGCAACAAAGCATTCTAGAATGCAAGCCTCGGTCAGCGTCAAGGAGGCATACAACAGTAAGCCTCCGCAAATTGTTCACCGTTGCACTATTTCGTCTCTAGAAAAGGCCTTTTTGGGCATTTTTTTTCGCCAAAAATCGGCACTAGAGTGCAATAATTTGCATTATGCACGCAAGTTAGATGCCTCGTAGAAGACTAGAAAGCATTAGAAGTAAAATTGGTATTGTTGTGTATTCGTGACATTCCGTCAGGTGGCGTAGCCACAGCGACCGGTTGGTCATTTTTGTGTTTGAAATGTGTTCAGACAACTTTGAAGAAATTCGCATCATAGAGCTGGCAAAAGTTACGAGCGGAGCATAGAGCATGAATCTGTAGTTATTTAACATGAATAAAGTGTATGTTGTGTAAGCGCAGTAACAGTGTGAGTAATTTTAATTAATTTCTGTTCGATGCTTATTCAGGCCTGCTGCCTATGGACGCCCTCTACTGTTGTTCACCACCTCAAGCGTCCATGGCGCTATCACGTGCGTGCTTAGCAACACGCACGGCAACCAGATCCAACACGAGAGACGAAACCGAGAGGATAGCTAGAGAGAGAGGGGAGGGAGCAACGTACGAGTGTGAACGAGCAAGAACGAGAGGGGAGAACGAGAGGCAGAGAAGAGG